CCCAAAAGTGGATTAGAAGTGCTTCTGGTCCACTTCCATGTCTGCTGCCAAGCGTGTTGGTGACAGCATTCACCTTTGGAGTTGGGAGGCCCAAATTGAAGTCTTTCCCCTTTGAGTTAGGAGAACCAAGCTAAAGTTTTTCCTCCCAATCATTTTGGTCTCTGATTCTCCCACATGTTCTTTCTTTCTCCTTGTCTGCCATTAGGGCGGCTTTAATGACTATCTGCAGCTGGGCTCAGGAAAGAGAAAACTATTTATCCTGAACACTGACATTCTGGAATTATGAATCACCCTAAGGGAGACCCCCTTGCCTTCTCAGCCATCTCAGAAAGACAGCCTCTGCTTCTGTGCTTTTTTAGCAAATAACAAATAGAAAAAGGACCCAGCTGCTAAAAGTATGGTTCTCTGGATTTGGATTTTCCACATAATATTTTTGCTGTAAATTCTTTATGTTTCTTTTCATTTCATCTTGTAACGTTAGTTTCTGAAAAGTCCTTTAGCCATGTATTAAATCTATCCTAAATGGTTTTGTTTTTTCCTAGGCTACCCAACTACCCTGCTAACCCAGGCTGTGCACCCTCCATCAGCTCAGCAGGTGGCAAACCAGTCTGGTCAGAACCAATCCAGTCACCAGTCTTTCCTTCTGACTGCACCCCCAGCATCCCAGCAGCAGAACCAAATCTGATTCAACCCTGCTGCAATCCCTGTGCACCCACTTCTCCTCTCACTCCAGGCTGTGCATTAGTAACTCAGATCTCCACTCAAATCTGTTAAATGTGAAAATTTTCACTAGAAGGAGTAATAACATGAGGCAATAAGACAATGTTATGGGCTAGTGAAAGGAAAACTACAGTAGACTCAAGTCTCTAGGCTGAGATTTTCGTAGCTGTGCCAGGGACTTGAATGGTCAATTAGGAATCAAAATCCTTTGGATGGCTTTAGAGATCTCAGTCCTATCCATTTGCAAGTGCTTAACTGTTTGCCATGTCAACATATTCTTCTGCTTTCAATGTGCCTCTTGCAGTGCATTTTCTGCCTTCTGTTCCACCTCAGCGTCTAAAGCAGATTGAAACCTCTTTATTTCTTAATAAAAAAGATAATTACTATGATATAGCAAACTTCTTTCCTTTTTGTATTCATCCCTTTCATAGTCATTATTTTATATATTTAATGAACAGCTCTTTGAAAGCTGGCTCCTTTCATTTCATATTGGAACCCTGATTCCAGTTGGGTCCTTTAGGCTAGCGGTGTCAAACTTACCCCATGCCCTGGGTCAGAAACAGACTGCAGGGCTCCTTTGTGGGCCAGATCCACAGGGCCAGTAGCAGCAACCACCGTGGCGGTGGCAACCAGGCACAAGTGGCTGCAGGGAAAGTAGGACCATGATGGCATGTGTATGAGTAAAGGCTGTGCTGACAAGGACCAGGTGTGCTGGGGTGCCAGGAGCCTGGATTTTGCAGCACATCCCACTTACCACTAAGCACAACCCCAAATTCCTTGGCCTGCTGGTAGCCCACAGGCCACATGTTTGTCACCTTTCCTCTGGGCCGTAACAAATATAAACAGTAGCATTTTACCTAATAACCTGCAGTGTAAGATTCCAAATCAGAACGAACATTTAGCATATACAATTATAGGATCCATTTTTCAAAAACATTTTTTTCTCCAGATTAAAAACTATCAGGTCAACAACACTAAGATATGTTAGTAACAAGAGATGCTTGAACAGGTCCGCAGTTTCACAGATTTTTCAAAGAGGAAGATAAAGAACTTAAAATTGGATCCATGTAGTAAGAGAAAGACAACAGACAGATTTAAGGAGGGTCTAGACCTAGGCAGAACATTAAAACTCTTATAGGGCAGAATAACGGGGGGAGAGTGAAGGGAAGCAAGATGAGTTTATGAATAAAGGGGAGGAGGTTGCAGTAGTTGTGGTAAGAGATCATCAGAGCGTGGGCAAGGTTTTGAAGTTAACCAACAAGAAAAAACAAGTGGATCTTGAATGACTGAATAGGAAGAAGTGGTAGGATTTGGCATTTGGGGGGGGGGGCAGGGGAGGAAACCCAAAAATTGGGGGAAACCCTGATGGGGGAGAAATGGGGAGCCCCAGGGGCAGAGGGGAGACCAAAATGGGAGTGGGGGAGAGGGTTCCTTACCTTCCAGTCTTCAAGGCTCCTGCTTGCCTGAATGTGTGACTGCTCCACACTCAAGCTAACACTAACACCAATCAACTTTTGAGAAGCTTAAAGTGTAATGTGTAACAAAGCCCATGGTCAGAAATGCTTGCCTGAGTTTAGGGGAGGGGAGTGGTCAAAAGTGGAGGCAGATTTAGTAGCAATTATCCCATAAGGGGTAAACTGAAGCTGCTACATGTATTTTTTTTCTTTTTAATTTGTAAAAGGAGGTTGCGTGGAAAGAGGTCTAGATTAAAATAGAAATGAAAAGAGACAGTACTTTATGTCTTTTCCTTCCTAGGAAAGTCCTCTGATGGTTCCTAGGACAACTATCAGAGTTCTTTTGTAGCTCACTGATAGAAATAAGCAAATCTTTTTGTAGCCCTCACAGGGTGGCCAAGTTGATTCAGTCTGAAGTAGCATAAATAAGAGGACATAAAATGGCAGAAGTTCAGCCCTCTGCAAAACTGTCAAGTCTGATAATCACTTCATAGTCTGAGTAGAGAGAAGCTCTGCACCTAAATTAGAACAGAGAGTAAAACTGATAGTAGCAAAGTATATGTCAATTCTATTAGATATCTGCAGTTTCATCTCCCTATAAATAAGTGTATTTATGAATTTGCTACTTATCTAGAAAGTACAGCACAGAAGGTGCAACTCAGGGGAAGGGAAGCATATACAGCTTCACAGCCATTATGCCCACCAGTAATGGGCTGCTTCAGGGACAATGATGGCACCAGTGTGATTTACACAAGGAAACCGCACCTCAAGGTGCTGGAAAGCAAAACTCGTGACATGTGTGACTTTGTGTGTGTGTTAAGATGCAGCAGGGTGAAAACAGCAAGCATGGTAACACCTGCTGAGGCTATGAAGCCTGCCAGGTTTCAAGGAGATAGGTGCAGGGGTTTCTGGCATGGGCAACTGCTGCCACCTTAGTCAGGGGGGGCACATACCACCCCCCCCCCCCCCCCCCCCCCACACCCCGCCCACCGCA